TTGTAAAAAACTTCGTAGTTCCAAAGTTTTGTAAAATTCAATGTACTGTAAGTTTCCAAAACTTTGTGAAGTTTGTTATTTCTATGTTTAAACTTTGTAGACTTTGTTAAAGCTTTGCAATGCAAAAACTCGGTAAAACAATGTAATTCCCAAACTTTGTCAAATTTTTGTAAAGATCCAAAACTTTGTAAACACTTTGTAGGAAGTTTGTTTGAAGACCTGCGAAAGCTGTTCAAGAAGAGCTGATCTTTGGATCAGTGAGACTGCTTGCATTTTTTTGTTAAAAAAACGGCATTTGGTGCTTGCGCTTTGGGAATTTGTGACTGATGGCTGTAGTGTTTCAAGGTATTGAGGGTGAGAAGAAGGGTCGAATGGTTGTTGGTTGTGCAAGTGTTTTAAGACTTGGCCACGGAAACACCAAAACACTTCTTTCATTTTTCCAAATAACATTGGTGCAAAACACTTCTTGCGAGCAAAAACACTAAACTCAAGCAACTTAACACTGGAAATTCCCAGGGACGCTCTGGGCTAGAGCTTGTCGGAACAATGTCCGACCCGGAAGCTTGGAAGGACATGTTATTTTCACCTAGGTAGAGTTGTCCCCTCCACCTATTAAAGAACACGGGCCCCCGAGAGTTAACAAAAACTCAAAAGGGCCCCAAAAGGGGGGCCCTGTAATCAGGGTTGTCCAAAATAGGGTCAGTGGGAGGATCCATTGAACAATCATTGATTACATATGACGTGCAGATGTCCTGGCAGGCACAGCGCTTTGTGAAGCTTGAAGCGCGGATTTCGTGCAGACACCTGGGGAGAGATTCAAGATCGAAAAGTCAACCAGGAAAGCTTTGTACAAAATCCTTCAGTAAACTCGTGTCAAAATTGAAAAAACTCCAGATAGAAAGGTTTTCCTTTTCCCTTGACAAAAATTTTTGACTAACAACTAAAGCATTCGCAAGGTGATGTCGCTGTGCCATGCCGTTTTGCGCGGCCTCGGTGGCAAGTGCGTTTGCGTGAGTGTAAACGCGGCGCGTCATGGTGGACAAACAGGGTGGGCAGAGGTGGGCAGCTGGGGTTGTTTTCAGAACTTCTTGAACCCAATACCTTCAAAAATACACCAAATTCGACCATGTTGGTAGTCTAGTAGCGGGCTTTAAAGAGCAGTAATCTAAAAACACATATAAACCGTATTTAGTGGTTTCCGACGTGATTCTATTTAAACAGGGGTCCTTTTAAATAGGTACTTGGGATTACTTCACAATCCGGCCAGCCTTGGTTGAGAAAGAAGTGCAAAGCACCATGCAAGCCAACGAAAGGATGGGTTCCTGTAACCTGCCACCGACCAGCTTGCACATTTGCTTCAGCCTTGACTTCTTTGGCGTGCGGGTCAGTAGTTTTTTGAGATCTGGAAAGCGAAGCGCAAATCGAGGTTCATAACCAAGACTGAAGCATGCTGCGCCATGCAGAGAACTCCTTCTAGAGTACACCCATCTTTATGATCATCAGTTTTTCGTTGCTTGATAAAGATTCCTTACTGCCATGAAGCGCGAAGTAAATCTGCCTCAAAATCAGTATGGACCATCAAATTTTGCCTCAAGGGAAATTTCACAATCATGTTCACCATGCTCGTAAAAATCCGAATTCGAGCGCCAGAACAGGATCACCATAGAAGATCTGAACCAAAAACCTTGGTGCTTCGGTCCCTTGACGCTCTCCATGCTCAGTCATGTATGACAGCTGGCAGTTCACGAGCTGACGCGGAAAGCCGCGCAAGCCAAGTCGCTCAGGCTGACCACTGTGGCCACTGGATTCGTCGTATAAGCTATTCAAACCGAGAAGTGTATTGAAATTCAAATCGAGGCCATTTACCCATTGGTCCGCCCATAAGTAAACTGTACTTCAACAGTTGTTCTCTCCACCTTCCAGGGGCCAATTCTTACAGCTGGTTCGGGGGCAAGCGTCAGACAGCGTACAGCAGCAACCTCAAAACATGCACGCAACTCAAGGGGGGCAAGGTAAAAAAGATGCGCAAGCGACAAACGGTTGGCGCGCTTTAGGGGGGAGACACTGCGCCTTTCCCCCCCAAACCCCGTCCAGCTTCTCTGTGCACAAGTTGGAAATTCTTCCAGCAGTTGGCATTGCGGGGCCATTGCTGGGAATGGTGGAAAGCAGCAGGGATGTGGGGAGTTTCTAAAACAGTGGAGGCGGTGGAGGATGAAAAAGAAGGGATTGTGGAACAAAAGAAGGACAAGAGGATGAAAAAGACTGCGTGGAAGGTGAAAAAGGAAAGACGCAAGGATGTGGCAAGAGGTGAAAAATGAAATGATGAAGCACGTTTTGAGGGTAAACGGTTTTTTGGTTCGTCCTCCTTGACACCAAATAGCTAACTGACCCAACAAGAAACACATGTTCTTCCTTGAGACAATTGGGGAGACATGTAAAGAGGCAAGGCAGCAGCGGCGAACCAAAACGCTGATCACACAGGCAGACAAGTGGGGAGACATGCAACGAGACAAGTGGGGGAGACAAGGCAGCAGTGATGCAGCGGCGGGAAACCAAACGGCCATCACGGTGTCACAGGCACACAAAAGGGAAGACATGTTGGGAGACAAAGCAGCAGCACCAACTGCATACCGGCACCAGGCAGTCATTGAGAGCCATTGGGGGGGGGGCCTGACACGGAAGCCGATGCCAACAGGGACAATCATGCGATCGCTCCCGGGCCGCATAACGCGCCTTCTTTAGCAAAAACGTCATCTTTCTGAAGGCTTTAAAAGAACGAACACCATTTGCATCCACCGCAACGGTGCAACGCCCCGAGAATCAAGCCTTTAGCAAACCGAATGTGAAGTGCCTTTGATGCTGGCCCGGTTTTAGGTCGCGCCGCCGACCCGGAAAGCGTGAAAATTACACATTTGATGGCTATTGAAACATTTTGCATTCCAATCCAAAATCAGGTATTCCAAAGTCGCTCCGAAGCGGCTTTAGGCATAGTTTGCCTCCCCGCGATCTGTTGCTTTATTGGGAGCGCAGCTTAGGCTAGAGCACGCTGCAGCCTTTAGAGCAATGTTTTTTAAACAAACCTTTCGGAATGGTTTTAAGCTTTCTAGTTCAATGCAAAGAACGAACAGCCCCTAGAAACCAACAACGAAAGAAGGCAACATAAAGCCCATAGGAACCTCGAAACGAAAGATATTATGTGTTCCTCCGCCTTCGGCCGGGGTCGGCGGGATACGGGATTTTCTGAAGAACCTTTCCTGCTTTGATCCTAGTAGCTTCATGCCCTTTGTTCCTAGTAGCGTCCTTGCTCAGGCCAGGAGCCCCTAGTAGCGTCCCTTCCTGTTTTTCCATGGTATTTCAACTTTCCATGCCCTGTTGGAAGGAGCTGTTGATGCGTTTGAGGGATGTCGTGCTGGGCGCCTTTAAACATGCGTCAGCGCCGCGGACTGAATAACGATGTGAGTTTTGGGAAGCCATGATGTTGATATGTCAATTTCACTGCGCCATCGGCTTAGCGGCGAGCATGTCCGCAAACGGGACAAAGATGGACAAAGCGTAGTGAATTATCCACCTGGTTATGCCGGTAGAGGTGCTAATTTCAGAAACAGGCTGAGCGAGTGGGGCTCGTCACGGCATCAGCTGACCACTATGACAAATTACTTGTGGTATGAATTAAGGAAATTGAGTCAAACTCAATTAACAGCATTGCCCGACCTATATTGTAGTGTCTTCTCGAGGTTGTTTGGTTGGTTCTCTCGTTTGTATGCTGTTTTGAGCAACTCTATCCAGCATAAGTTGACAGCTGTCAACTTGCCAATAAGTGTTTTTTGTGGGATGATGTTGTGATGCTCCAAGACTACATTGCAGGTGCCATACGCAGTGGTCCTCGAGGCAAGAAGTGGAACGTGATCAGACGCACGCTTAAAGCATTCTAAAATGCAATTTGTAAGACAACCTGAACTTCTTGACTTCTGAACTTTTGAAGAAAACCTAGTTTTGTTCTACTTTTTTGCGTACAATTTCCCAAGGACCTAGGGTCTCTGATGGATAAGACACAGAGCACTAAGAAGCAGGCAGCACAGCTGGATGCCGCAGCCATTCCTGCCATGTTTGTTTTGCAGGACGGTTTCCCTGAAGCAGTTGTTGTTTGTTTATGACAATTTACGTTTTTTTTGATGCTGCTTTATGGTGTTCAATGTATTTTTCGACGAAGTTCACAGGACAAAGATGAGATGTCTTGGAGTATGGAGGCAGGTTCGCAGAGATCGAAAGACCCCACCCAGCCCAGAGCCAGTCTTTTGCTGCTTCTTGTTCCTAGTAGCGATGCACTTGTTACTAGAAGCGATGCACTTGTTCCTAGTAGCTTATTGTCTCTGCTAGCTTTCTTGTTCCTAGTAGTAAGGCCCTTTGTTCCTAGTAGCGAACATTGCTCCTAGTAGTAATGCCAGGAGCCCCTAGTAGCGTCCTTGCTCCTAGTAGCGATGCTGTTTGTTCCTAGTAGATCCTAGTAGCATCAAGCTGCTAGGGCCTGCGTGTGGAGCAAGTTGAGTTGGAGCGAACTGCAGCTTTATTCGACGTCACCTGCGAGATGCAGGACGTGAAAGCTTGAACGAACTCGTTTTAAAAAAGAAGAAAAGACCATCAAACACATCATGTTTAAAAGAGACGGGGAAATCGAGGAAATGCCTGGCACGAGTGGCGGCCTACAGGGTTTCATCGAGCTTCTGGCCTTTTGCAACGGATGTCCGCTTTCGACGCTTTCTTGTCTTTCAGTTTTTCTCTCCAAAAAGAACTGAACAAATTTATGTGGTCTTGTCAAGCCTAGTAACAAGGGCATCGTTTCTCTTTTCAAGGCTTTTTGTTGCACTCTTGGCGTTTTCACTCTTTGGCCCCGCCAGGTCTACAACAAACACCTTTGGACCTTACAACGAGCAGAGCGATTTGCACAAGCTTTTCAGGTCAGATACGCTCATGGTGTACGGTTTGTTTTTGATTTCTGCTCGACCTTTGCAAGGGTGTTTGAGCCGCTGGCCGGCGATGTTTTCGCTTGTATCTGAATAGGAAGGTTTTCCTGTCCGCTTCATACCGTTTTTGATTTGTTTTGAGCCATGCAGTATATGCAGTACGTGCATGTTGCAGTACTTCGAGGCGCTGGCTACTGCCATCGCTGAAGAACCAGCTGCCGATCTCCTTACCCTACCAGCCACTTGATGAAATCACATGGCGTGAACGAGGAGATACTTGAGCATCGCTGAAAGGTCACCTGGTGTACAGAACGGCAGACCCCGGAACATTCTAGGATTCTAGCTTGTCTAGTCGGGCTGGTCGCTGGTTGAAACTAGTGCTTACAAATATTGCTCAAAGCAAAGTAAGTGCTGCTCAAAAAAGGACATGTGGAAAGCATGTTTTTGGATCCAATAGTAGTGGCAAATAGTAACTAGATCCTATGCGCCCGTCGCACAGCTTCATATTCTGCAACGTTGGGATGCTTTCGTTTCAGGTCACCTCTACCAGCGAGCGCACATGTATCTTGGAATGGGGAGGCCATAACAAGCCATCCATTTCACCGACGCCTTTGATCAAGGCCCGGATTGCACATTGCATTGTGGCACAGGGCAAGTCTTGGCTTTTCGCTTGGCATTGTTTGCACTGCCAGACTTTCCAGATGCAGTTGCTTCAATGTCGGCACGAACCTGCGATTCTGGTTGATGCGAGATGCTCATTGATTGATTCCTTGATTGATTCATTCATCGTTCGCTCTTAACGGTCCTGGTTAGGACCGCACGGTGACCTATGAAGAGTTCGGTACACAAGTCACTGCTCTTGCAGCAGCCTCATCCTCAGAGTGCTGCTTGCATTGAAAAAGTGGGCCAGAGAACAGACTTGGTGATTTTGCTTGTTTGCTCACCCTAGTGGCCCCCCATACCAAAAAGGTTAATTTCTGCTTCGGCCCAATTGCAAGGCCTTAAAGTTGAAGCTCGGCCAAGCGTTTGGCGAGTCCTTGCTGGTGGGTTTGTTGCTGGCCCGCTCGGTGGACCTGGCCGTGGTCAGAGCCCAAGAGCCTAATAGCGTCCTTGTTACTAGTAGAAATGCTCTTTGCTACTAGCTTCTTGCTCCTAGTAAGGCCCTAGTAGCTTCTACAGCTTCTACACTCTTCCAAAAGTGTTTGCTGAGAAGTTGTCCTCATGTCATAGTTTGCCAGCTCAGCTGTGCTTTCGAGGCCATATGGGCTACTCTTGGTGCAGGAGCTGCCTATGTACCGATTGATCCAGAATATCCTTTGGAACGCATTAAGCATATTTTGGAGAATGCCCAACCCAAGTTGGTGATGTGCAGGGAGGCTCAACGGCATTTCTGTGGCAACCTGGAGGTTTGGAGCACCCAAGAATGGCCGATTTCGAGTTCGATCTCTGTGGAGCACATTGAGCAAGCTCCACCTTTGCACCTGGCATACGTGATTTATACCTCTGGATCAACTGGGAAACCCAAAGGAGTGGCAGTCGAGCATCGCGCAGCAGCTAACATGGCCCGGGAGCAGATAGCTTTGATGAAGATTTCGAGAGAAGATCGCGTGCTGCAGTTCTTCAAGCCGGCCTTTGACGGAGCAGTGCAAGAATATTTAAGTACTTTCTGCGCAGGCTCCGCCAACCAAATGTTTTAGTGTATGTGTCATATCGATCTATCTATATTTGTGAACATCTTGGACGTCGAGCTTGTTACTGTTGTGTTGACCACAACTTCACATTTTCGCGGTCTTAGCGAAGCTGCTCCGAGCTCCAGGACCTTAGGCTATAAACTTCCTTTGTTTGTGTAGGGTGTCAGGAAGCGTCGCTTTCACCGCAGTGATCCAGAGCAGTTTAAGCGCTGCATTGGACTGGTAGCTGTGGCAGTTTGAGACGGAGATTGCGAAAGAAAAACACGGAGTGAAGCTCATCGGGCAATTGTTTGGAGCAGCCAGGGCTGCCCCAGACGAGGTGCCAATGAACAAGCCGCTGAGCGAAGAAGGCGCTGAAGCCATTGTTCAAAGACTTCGTGAAAATTTTGCTCCGCACGCCGAAGCTGGCGGCGGTCGAAAAGGGAAAGAGCCTTTGCAGGACTATGTGATTCGCATGGGTGCATGTGTCCTTTTCCAGCACGCGAATCTGACACAGGTTTGGGAGGATCAGCTGACCACTTGGGCAGGCGGCCGGTATCATAGAGATGAGGTTGTCAAGGCGTTGACGAGACCAGAGAAGGTTGCCACCAAAAAGGACGGCGGCAGACATCCAGCATTCATAGGTGGCCCCAAGTTAAAGCTAACTTCTGGCTGCATCCGTCTAGTCTTTTGTGGCTGCATCCTCTTCCAAGCGTTCTGAGAATGTCTGAGAAATACTTCAACATCCATGGTAGGGCCTCTTCCCGCTCTTGCGCCCTGAACATCCTTCCATTTAAGGAGGCCCTTTCTGGTTGTGAGGCCAAGCCCACGAACTTTCCAATGTTGAATCTCATCCTCAGCTCATCCAGCTTCTTCTTTCCAAAACATAGGAGAGCGTCGACTTCCAACATGATTCCGTGATATTCCGTGCAATTCTCCTACTGGGCTCACACTTGAAGGTGCACGGGCCCATTGCCGATTGGATATAACCCAACTCAAGGACAACATTTCGCAAAATTTCGCCAATGAGCAGGAGCGATTTCAATCACAGAAGGTCCTTCCTTGCCCCCTCACCACGGGATCCAACTGCGCAAGCGCATTCTTCACTCTGATGAAGTCTTTCACCACCTGCGTGGCAAGATCACTGCCGTCGTCACTGTGGGCCCGCATCGATTGAGTGGGGATCGGGGTCTCTATCTTCTCTCACGCAATACCTGGACTTCCTATAGTTGGGGCTTGTCAATCGCTGTGCAATTCGTGATGGAAGAATTCTTCCTGCTCTTAGTTCCTGCTTCCTTAGCTGTCTGTCAACTTCTGCAGATTCTTAGATGCGCAAGCCTTTGAGAGCTCCTCCGCTTTGCACCTGACCTTCCCTTCTTCGCCATTCTTCACCGGCCAAGGATCAGTTCTTCTGCCACATCGGCTTTGCCTTTGGTGTGGGGTTCTCTGTATCCACTCCAACAGTGCGCTGGCCCTTCCCAATCTCCTTTTCTTGCCCTCCAATTGCCTTTGGACATTACTGAGCTTGCCCTAAATTGATTTGACTTTCGGACCCATTCAAAATCGGTAGTTTAACGGTGTAATCTTCCTGGTGCAGCTGATGGACCTCTCCACCTGGTGCTTTGCGATCAATCTTCTGGCCCGCGTCGATCAGCCAGAAGTCTTGCGCCTCCTCATCTCCCAGCCTTCTCTTCTTGACTTCAATGCATTTGGCGCCTCAACTGCCCTGATTCGATGTTCCTCCATCGCACCTCCTGACTCTTCAGTGTTTGACCTTTGTCGGGGAGCACATCTTTCTTCAAATTCTTCCTTCAGTCTTTCAGGCAGAGGTCCAATGCCTTGTTCTTCTTCCGTTGCTTCCAGCGCTGCCGTCCAGAGATTTTCCCTGGTGCCGGGGATTGTCTGCCCTCTTCTCGGGCTTCAGTACGCATAGTAAGTTCCCCTTGTCGTCCTAGAGTGCCGAGCTCTGATGCACTTGGTGGCAAGGTCTCCAAGGAACTTTCGCCCTTGATCTATCCGGCATCTGGCTGGTGGAAACTCATCTCAGAAAGGGTTCCAGCAGCTGCGCCCCACTATCACGTTTAGCACTGGCTTGGTCTCCCTTCCTCCCTTCCTCCTGGTCCAGGCACAGTGTTGATGGGTCTTGGGAGCTTGCAAAGCCTTCCTCACCTCCTGATAAGTCGCCAGTGCATCTTGAAGCTCTGACTCCTCGAAGGTTTGATCTAAGCCGCCCTCACCAATCCACGCACCCTTCTTGCTCCAACCCTGGTTCAACCATGAAGCTCTTGCGAACAACCTCAAGATCCATGACGTAAGACTTGAACGGGACCGTTCGAGAAATTAACGAGAAGGCAGAGCTGGCCGCACAGATGCAACCCAGTGAGGAAGATAGAATGTGCTTCGGGGCGGTCAAAGATGCATCCTGGGAAGCAGGACGTCAAGGAGGATTCGCAGCGCTCGGCGATAAGGAGTTGGCGTGCGCTGGGGGAGCCGTCGTCACTGGAGATCAGGATGAATGCACAGAGTATATAGTGAGTCGACCTTGGCTGCCGCGGGCTTCAAAAGTTAGCTTAGACGACTAACGCACACAACGAATTCATTCAACCAGGATTCGAACTTCAATGGTGACAAGGAGGGGTCAAGGATCCAGAAGAGAAGGCTGCGCTATGGAAGAGCGCTTGCAAAAAGGGCTGCGCCGCTGCGCCTTGTGGACTCAAAGCCCTTTTACTACCACCTGGTCAAAAGCGCGGCGGGAAGTACAGAAGACACGCGCGTGGCGCGGCCACGGAGACGCAATACGCCATGCATAAGGCAGCTTTGTAGTGAGTGTGAAGCACATCCAGCAGTCCCAGGGCTGCCACTTTTCAGCGCTTCTACAGCGCGGCGAGTTGAATTTTAGCGGCGGTCTACACGACATTTGCGGGTCTGTGTGAATGTCTAGGACGTTGAGCTTGTTGTGTTGACCACAACTTGGCAATTTGCTTTGAACCGCCGCTGCCGCTTACAAGACCGCGGGCTTAGGCCAAAAAGGAGCGCGCGGTTTGTTGGGCATGCGTCCCTATTGGCTGCTCAGAACTCGCGCAATTTCAAGTTTCTTATTTTGGCCTTCTGGTATTCTGGTGTGGATGCAACGCATTGCTTTGCGTCCTTGGTGAACCCTTTGCGGAGACCGCCCGTGTCGAGTTGTTGTCAAAGTGTGTGCCTGTTGTCGAAAATCTAATAGGGGATGAACGGTTTGTGCTTAGGACTGGCACCTTTGTAGTGGCGGCATGTATGCGAGTAGTGGCCTGTGGGAGCTGGGCTCCGAACTGGCTAACTTTGAGCCATGTGTGGCGGCGTGGTGGCTCTGCAGCGCAGAAAAATCGAAATTACTTCTGCGACGCAGATGGCGCGGAAAGTGCGTCCGTGACGTGTCGCTGGGGAGCCGGATGATTGGCGGTGCGGCGAAATACATCCGTGATATCGCTGGCATGCAGATTGGCAGTCTTGAAGGAAGGAAGGAAGGAAGGAAGGAAGAAAGGAAGGAAGGAGGGAAGGGAAGGGAAGGGGAGGGGGAAGGGGAGGGGGAGGGAGAGGGAGAGGGGGAGGGGGAGGGGGAGGGGAGGGGAGGGGAGGGAAGGGAAGGGAAGGGAAGGGAGGAAGGAAGGGGCCGGGCCGGGCCTCCGCCCCCAAAGCCGGCAAGCTGCAGGAGCATTAGGCTGACCAGAGAATGCACACCGCGCAAAGCGATGTCCATGGGATCCACGTGGCGCCCAAAGCCGTCAAGAATAGTTGCGGGTGTTGATGTCCAACGGAAGCGGGACTGTAAACGGTAATTGGTTCTCTTAAATGGCTGAGCAAATTACCGCCCCCAAAGAATAAAAGGCTTTATGACGAACGCAGCCTCCGCCCCAAGCGCCCTGGATCACGCAAGCTTGGTTGGGATGATTCGTTTGACGGCCTTGCCTTGGCCAGGTGCGTGTCTTGTGCTTTGGGGCGAAGATACCGGCTTTGCTCAGGCAAGGCTTGCGTACTGCTGGGGGGATTAAATCAGATAAGGGATTGACTTACAATGGTTCAGCGCTCAAAGTGACAATGCTGACTGAAACATGAACTGGCAGGGGAGTTGGAAAGACACATTTTCCTGTATCAGGGCAAGTTTGCGTGTATGTGTGTGTGTCAAACCCTGTTCCTAAGGGCTTTTCACATCGGATTCATTTTTCAAGCAGGGGCGTGTGACACTCTTATCCTATCACACGCAACGAAGTTGTGGGTAAGAGTGGGAAGGGAAACTTGGCCAGTTTCCTACGCTACTCCCCCCAAACCCTTTTTCCACCGCTGATGCGCCGCCGCGCTGATCGTCCTGCAGTCACGCATAAACAGCTTGTTAAACATTTCAAGTGAACCGACTTCCTCACCTTGCCGTTCCCTCGCCTTCCTTTCACTTGGGAATTGAATAACAGAAAACCAATGTCAGAGTGTGAACCGCTCAGCCGTCCCACTTGGGTGCTGGGCGTGATCCCCGTCACTGGGGCGCTGAAGTCGCGCTGGAAATCGTGTAACAGACTTTTCGGATCCTTCTTTCCTTGGATTTTCTTAACTGGCTCCTTTTCACCACTGGATCAACTGCTCCAAGAGCCGCCGGGCTTATACGGATAAAACCATTTGAGTTCTACAGCCGCCGGGCTTGTACGGAGAATGAACCCCGACGCGGTTTCTACCCCAAACACCCCAACCCCTCCCACCCACTAATTAGGGTAACAGAGGGAAATGGTACTCGACACACTCGTGTGTCGGTGCCTTTCCCTCTGTTGTCCCTTTTCTAGTCTTCTCTACCCGGGCGGTCTAAGACTAAAGTCCCGCTCCCTAGCTGTTGCATGTAATTCACTTCCGCTAAGTAATCAGTAATTCTAGAGTGCTAAGTATTATAGTATTCTTACACACACACACACGGACACACACATGTACATACAACTCCCTGCCCCCCCACTTTCTTTCTTGCGCTTTTGGTCGTTTCTTGGGCTTTCTCTCAGGCTTTTTAGGTTGCTCTTGAGGCTCGTTTCCCTACCCCAGTCAAGGGCTAAGTATTCACTTTTTTCTACTCCTACCTTTCTCTCTTGCCCTCTTAGCGCTGCTCTTTCTGTGTTTCTTCCTTTTGTTTCTAAGGCTTTTTAGGTAACTATTCAGGTCCTTCGCACGAGCGCCGCAAAGCGGCGCCGTGTGTCTGTGTGTGTGTCAACCCCTGTTCCAAAGGGTGCTACCTGTCATTTCTCAACTTGATCACCAGGGGGGGCAGAGAGGACTTGCAAAGCTCTGCCCAACGAAGCTCTTTGCAAGATCCTAGGAAGCGGAAGCTGATCACTTCCGTGTACCTGCTACCTGAACTTTTGACCACGCTGTCTAATTTGCCTTGTTTGTTTCCATGGTTCTTCATGCTACCGCCCCCCAAATCTTTTTCCCACCGCAGACTTGCAGCAGACTTGCGGCCGCACAGAGTGTCCGATCGTTTTCGAGTGCGGGAGTAGAACACGGTGGGGGGGGTTGGGAAACCTGCCTCAAATGGGGTGAATTCCGTTTTTAAGCCCGGCGGCTGTCATATCCGTAAAAGCCCGGCGGCTCTAAAGGCAGAGAATTCAGGGTTGTTGAGAACATTCACGTGGATTCTGGTTGGTGAGATTTCCCGAAAGAAAGCAGTTGCACGATTTCCGGAATGATAGCAGCGCCTCCTTGCGGAGGATCACACCCAGCACCCAAGTGGGACGGCTGAGCGGGTCACACTCTGACATTGGTTTGCTGTTAATTCAATTCCCACGATGAGAAGGAAGGCGAGGGAACAGAAAGGTGAAAGAGTCGGCGATAACAGTATGGTTTAACCGCGTTTTCTAACTATTGCACTGTAATTCGTTTCTGCTAAGTAGTCAGTAACCCTAGAGTGCTAAGTATTCAGACACACACACGTACACACATGGACATACACCCCCTCCCTCCCCCCCCCCCTTTCCTTCTTGCGCTTTTTGTCGTTTGTTGGGCTTTCTCTCAGGCTTTTAGGGTTGTTCTTGAGGTTTGTTTCCCTACCCCAGTCAAGGGCTAAGTATTCATTTTTCATTTTTTCTACGCCTATCTTTCTCTCTTGCCCTCTTAGCGCTGCTCTTTCTGTGTTTCTTTCTTTTGTTTCTAAGGCTTTTTAGGTAACTATTCAGGTCCTTCGCACGAGCGCCGCAAAGCGGCACCGTCCAACCCCTGTTCCAAAGGGTGCTACCTGTCATTTCTCAACTTGATCAGCAGGGGGGCAGAGAGGACTTGCAAAGCTCTGCCCAACGAAGCTCTTTGCAAGATCCTAGGAAGCGGAAGCTGATCACTTCCGTGTACCTGCTACCTGAACTTATGACCACGCTGTCTAATTTGCCTTGTTTGTTTCCATGGTTCTTCATGCTACCACCCCCAAACCTTTTTCCCACCGCAGACTTGCAGCAGACTTGCGGCCGCACAGAGTGTCCGATCGTTTTCGAGCGCCACTGAAAACACGGTTAAACCATACTGTTATCGCCGACTCTTTCACCTTTCTGTTCCCTCGCCTTCCTTCTCATCGTGGGAATTGAGTTATCAGCAAACCAATGTCAGAGTGTGTGTCAAACCCTGTTCCTAAGGGCCTTTCACATCGGATTCATTTTTCAAGCAGGGGCGTGTGACACTCTTATCCTATCACACGCAACGAAGCTGTGGGTAAGAGTGGGAAGGGAAACTTGGCCAGTTTCCTACGCTACTCCCCCCCAAACCCTTTTTCCACCGCTGATGCGCCGCCGCGCTGATCGTCCTGCAGTCACGCATAAACAGCTTGTTAAACATTTCAAGTGAACCGACTTCCTCACTTTGCCGTTCCCTCGCCTTCCTTTCACTTGGGAATTGAATAACAGAAAACCAATGTCAGAGTGTGTGTGTTTCCATGCATTGGGGTTGAACAGCGTTCTTGGAAGTTGTCAGGTTCAAGAAACATGTACACACACAGACCGACCGTGTTTGAGCCACTCGTTTTTGCTGCTTTTTCCAACCGTGTTGATCGCATTGAGGCCCTGAAAACCTTCGGTGTCACTTGTGCAACATTGACGCCTTCGGCGCTCTCTGTGCTGTCGCCCCTGCAGCTGCCGAAGCTGCAGAAGCTGGCTGTGGCCGCTGAGTTCTTTGGCTGAAAAGCTGGGTTCTATACATTTCGGCAGTTCTTAATTTAAATTCCTTGCGTTCTGTTGGTTTTAATTCTTGTGAAGTCTAGTAGTTCACGAGGGCGGCTAGGTGACGAAATGCCTCAGCATCATGTACTGCGGGTGTTGATTTGCTGGTTTGGGTTGCTCACAGCGTGACCCAGCAATTTGCCCAGCTTGGGGCCGATTAATAGAGGACAGCTCTAATTCATCACACTAGCAAGTGGCATAAGGCTACGTTCTGAGACTATATTGTCCCAATTGTCCCCACTGTTTCTCAATTGGCATGGAGAATGGGGCCAAAACTCTCTCTCTCGCTTTGTGAAAGGAATCGCTTTGACTCTCCAGCCGTCGATGTCTTAGGTCATGTCCACCTAGCTTGGTGGACACATGGGCCCGTGGCCGGCACTTGGTGAATGCTTATGGTCCATCGGAGAACACTGTGGTCTCCACTTGGGCTGAGCTTGATGGAAGGGAGCTGAGCAGGCTGAGTTCCTTCATCATCGAAGTGGAAGGTGGAGCCGATGACATTGATCGACGAAGTTCCCTTTCGGAAGGGAGGGAACGAGCGACGCAACATGTGCCCATCGGTCGGCCTGTGATGGGTGTTCAATGTTATGTCTTTGAAGCCACGAGGTGTAAAGCACTGCAACCAATTGGGGCACCCGGAGAGCTTTGCCTAGGAGGTGATCAATTGGCGCGTGGCTACTACCGAGATCCCGTCAGAACCGCTGAAAAGTTTGTACCCAACCCTTTGAACGGCAAAAGGATGTACAAGACTGGAGACTTGGTCATGTGGCTGCCTTCCAGTGAGTTGCTCTACTTGGGCCGGAACGATGAAATGGCAGCTTGGAATGCATTCAAAAGAGTTGCGCCTGTGTTCCATTCTGGGGTTCCGAAGGATTCTGTACTAGCATGGTAACAAGGGCATTACTACTAGTAACAAATAGGTAGCTTCTTGTTACTAGTAATAATGCCCTTGTTACTAGTAGCGATGCACTTGCTACTAGTAGCGGGGTTGTGATTTGTGTCGGGACCAAGGTCAAGGTTCGTGGTTTCCGAATCGTCCCTTGGCCGCCTTTGGTCCCTTAGCTTGAGCGATTCGCTTCTCAAAATCAACAAAAAGCAAACGTTTTGCTCGAAAGTAGTTCGTTTTTTAAGTTTTGACATACAAGAATAGTTGTGCTTCCTTTTTCTCGAAATTGCGCTGACACAGGAGCTGACAGAGGTGGAGGCGGCCTTGGGGGCCCTGGGCGCGCAGGCAGAAAGACATGGGAGCTTATCGCAATTTGGAAAACAAAATCCCTATTCTCAGTAGCTAGAAGCTACTAGGAGCAAGCTACTAGGGGCTCCTGGCATCGATACTAGGAGCAAGATAACCTTTTCTTTGAAGAAAGATAAGAAAGCAAAATCCTCATTGTGTCCATTGCTTTACGACAAACCTTTGAGGCCGTGGCAGTGGGGCTTAACATTGCCAAGGATCACGCGCCGAAGCTTTACTGTTTGAATGTGCCATCAGCCACTCAACTTGTTCAATAAAAGAACAATGCTGTGTCCATGGCAATGCTGGTCTGGGTGACCAAATGACACGGTTGAGAAAGAATCTCTGGAGGCTGGTGTTTCCAAACCTGCCGCGACCCGCAACACGTGGCGCAAGATGAGGTGTATCAGAAAGGCATAGCGCCTTTCTCTGGTGCAAAGCGTTCGGATCCAGACTCGACCGACGCTTCGGGTTCCGGATGGGCTGTCTTGGCCGGCTGTCTCCGATGGGAAGCTCCCGTTAGACACCGACAAGTGCTTTCAAAGCGGACTGCTTCTCGCACAGCGGCCCAGCGGCGCTCTGATCTCTTCAAGACGGCTAGGAAGAAGGACGCTATTAGTGGCTCCTGGCATCGTTACTAGCAGGGGCGCTATTCGGAGCCTCACAGATTGCTCAGTCAGCCACTTCCCCGACACAATCGCCGATCCACCAACGGTAACAACAATTTTCGGGCACAGCCGTCGTCGCACACTAAGGCCACAAAAATGCAACAAGGCCAAGTTAGGTCCAGACACACAATGTATCCAAACTGTGGTCACAACACAACCTGAGCTGAAGTGTTCCCCTTCCTTTAATTCAAATTCGGCTCAAGTTTAATCATGCAAGTGGGAAGAACAAGACCTCTCTTGACGTGTCAAGCGCAAGTGGGTAATTTGTCAACCCTTCCCTGATTAATCATGCCTCTTGGCCTTCCTACCTCTTTCACCTTTTTCATCATCTCGTCCCATTTTGGAAAAGAGAGCAGTTCTCAGCCCCAATTGCTGCAGTGAACTGGCAAGTGCTGACCGCACACAATACAGTCAGAACATGTTCCATGGACAGTTCCTTACCCCAACATTGAAAAACATTGAAAAACATTAAACAAACTTATTTCCAGGGGGATATGCTCCAAATGGTCACCCTTCCTGATAGCATCCTTAGCTTCAGGAAAGAACCCAATTCCATACCACACAAAAATCAGTTGATCACAGGATGGGCTTTGGGCTTGGGTCACGCCTGAATCCTTGTCGCCAAGCAGCCTCCGAGCGGCCAAAGCCTGAGCAAAAAAAGGAATGCGTAAATGGAGAACAAATGACTAGCTTCTTGTTACTTACTAGTAAGGCACTTGTTACTAGTAGCGATGCACTTGTTACTACTAGCCCCGAGTCACGCCTGAGCAACAAATGACTTCCCCTCAGGAACTTCAGAAGACATTGCCACAGTACATGGTGCCTAGCAGGACTGTCGGCTTGAGAAGCTGTGACTGTAACAGTTTCAAACGGGTCGGTGTGCGTCGAACCGAACGAAGTTGCCACGCCTGCCTGGCGGACGATCCATACTAGTAACAATGTTCGCTACTAGGGGCTCCTGGCCCTACTACTAGTAACAAGTGCCTTACTAGTAGTAACAAGAAGCTAGTAGAAACAATAAGCTAGTAGTAACA